TATCTAATGGGTGCCAGGCACTAGATGAGATGCTGACAATATAGCAGTTAACAAAAGAAACAAGAAATCTCTGTGCTCTTGGGAGCTTACATTCTAGTAGGGGATAGATAATAAACAAGATATGTGAATAAAATAGGTAGTACGTTAGATGGTGATAAGGAGAAAACAGGAAAAATAAGTAGAAGGATGTGAAGTGCTGACAATGCTGGAGGGGAGGAGGTAGACAGTGACTAGAGCGAACCTTGCTGAAAAGGTGACTTTTAGGGAAAAATCTAAAGGAAATGGAAAAATGAACCTGGAGAATGTGTTATCAATTCAAACCATTAAATTAAAAAGAACAATCATTCCATTTAATCTTCGTAACAACTCTATTAGAAGTTATTAATATTAATGAGATTATTAGCCTCATTATAAATTATTACATTATGATCCCAAGGGGTTGCTTGCAAGTAGTTGAAACAAGAAATGTTAACTCCTCCAATCCAAGTGCTGAGATAGAAGGAAACAAAACATGTGGGGAGAAAATAGATGGGCACCTCAGCCAGCGTGTAGAATAAGGGGAGAAGATGATGCTGAGAGTGCTCTGAAGATTGGGAGGGAGTTGTCCCATCCAGGACTGGAGGGAAGAATTCTTGGAAGAGGAAATGACTACAAAATTGAAGACAGGAGAAAAGGCCTGGCAAGTGGTTTAAAAAGGCTGGAGTGAGGTCTTGGTCAGGGAGGGCTATAACTGAATACGGGCAAGATGTCAAGGTCAGACACTAAGAGCCTTGGGAAGGCACATAAGAAACTAGTTTGGAGTATCTCAAGCCGTCCCCAAGTCCCTTCTCTCTTGCTTGCCTCTACTCTAGAGCATGTCTTTCCAACTTTGGCACTATTGATATCTCAAACCAGTTCTTTGTTATCAGGAGTTGTCTTGTGCATTGCAGGATATTTTTCCCACCAGATGCCAGTAGCAACCACTCCTCCCGCCCCAGTTGCAAGAACCAACAACGTATCCAGACATTGCCTGAAATCCCACTGTAGGGCAAAATCACTCCTGATTGTGAACCACTGGTTTGGAGGTTCAAAAAACTAAAATTCTCATTTTTCCAGCCCCCTTTGTAGCTGCGAGTAAGGTAACTCCTGTGTGTTTAGGTCACTAAGCTGAGGTTTTCTATTATTTGCAGCTAAAAATCATTCTAACTGTGAAACCATACAAAAGTTTGGATTTTATCAGAGAGATAATGGGGATCCACTAAAGGATTCTAAAAAGTAAAAAGAATTGGATCATCACAACTAAATTTTGGAAAGATTATTTTGCTACAAAACATAGACTATGAAGCAAGACTGGAGGCAAGTAGCCACGGAAAATGCCATTATGGCAAGGTAGGCAAAAATAAGATGAAGTTTGAACCAACTCCGTAGTGGTAGGAATAAAGGAGATGGGACACATCCAAGGGACATTAAGAGGCAAAGTGGACCAACCCTAAGCAATTGGATATGGAGAGTGAAGATGTATCAAAAATTAAAAATTATATTTCTGGTATAGGTGATCCCCTAGATCGTACACAAAAGAAGAAGCATATTTAAAAAGAAAGACAATATTCCATTCTAGGCCAGGTTGAATTTGAAATGCTTATGGCACATCCAAGTGGTAATGTTCAAGGCATAGATATACACAGCTCTGAAAGTCAGAAAAGAGTACAATAGCAGTAATTTTTAAAAATATATGTATGATAGAATTTAAAGTTTTAAGTTCCAATAAAATAACATTACTTATTACTGAAGTAACATAGATAAAGTATAGAATACTTAAAAATATAGCTACACAAAAGCAAATTAAAAATACACAGACACACACTTATACAACTCCAGCATCTAAGTATAAGTTGCAGTAAAATGTGGTTACGTATACATGTGAATACATACACATAAATGGCATTATACTGCCTATGCTCTGTGGTAACAGGCTTTATTCACTTAAGAGCATATCATAAATATCTTTCTATTTCAATTAACATTCACCCATTTTTCTGATTTTTGACTATTATAAATAGTTCTGAGATCAACTGTCCTCATAGTAAAATTTTTGCCCATATCCATAATTATTTCCTTAGGATAAATTCCCAGATGTAGACTTGCTGGCTAAATGGCATATGCGTTTTTAAGGTTTTTGACAGATGTTCCTAAATCATCCTCTGGAGAGATTGTAGCAGTTGACGATCCCATCAGCATTATGTGTGAGTACTGACCTCCCCACACTTTCTCCAAAACTGAAGTTGTATACTTAATTACGCAAACCTTTGAGAATTTGGTAAAATAAAATGTTAATTTCACTGTTGTTTTCATTTGGCATTTGTTTAATTGCTAGATTTTGAGCTGTTTTATGATGTTTTACCAGCAATCTGTATTTTTTCTGTGGCAAACTGCTGATTCCTGTCCTTTGTCCATTTATCTTTTGCTACACGTATCTTTTATTGATTTGTAAGAGCTCTTTATATATTATGAACTTTAACTCTTCTTCATCAATGCTATATTTTTTTCTTAGCTTGCATTTGCCATTTAATTTTAGGGTACATTTTGATAAACAGATATTTAAAACTATAGAAATGATCATGGTTTGAATTGGTTATTATAAAGAATGGGAATATGATGTATCTTCAAGCAAATATAGAGACTGAAGTACAATCTGAAAGGCTCAGCTGAGGTCAGATATTATGAATTTCTAATAACTTGAATCTGCAAAGTCGTAGCTGCATTTGGTTACTGGAGTGCAGAGGGAGAAAGTAGGATTCACTTAGAGTTAGGATTTGCTTGTTGGTTTAACCAGAACCTGGATAAAGGAATAAGAGAGTTAAATGTACTAGCAAGTGTGTTGCTGAAATGATGGGTCACATGGGACAAGATAAGAAGTAACTGATGTACTGGGAGAAAATAAGAGGGGTCGGGGCCCCATATAGCTGAAGATAAGATAGCGAAATGAGAACATGACAGAGCTATAAGATTAGGAGATTTTCTACAATTTTCTTCTATCCTACTTGTCATTATTGCTTTTGATCCATTTATTCTATTTTCTTCTTTTAAAACAATGATTATTTGTATCTGTTATATTCGCTTTCATATTTCATAATTTCTTTGTTCATTTCCTTTACAGGCAGGCAGTGTTCCCCCATCACACTCAGAATCAATTTTCAACCGTCAAGTCTATTGATTGGATTGAACACATTTTATTTTAGCCACTCTACTTTCCATTTCCTTGCATAATCTTTTTATCTTAGCCCGTACTTACTTAAGAGAAGCATTGTCTTCCTGCGTCCTAAGCAATATTTAATTCCAGAGTGTGGGGTGGGAAGGAGAAAGGTTGGAAGAGAGAGAAACACAAGGCCATGCACCCTTTCGGCCTTACTGACATCACAAAACACGAGTAAACACCAGACCATTCGATGAGTTACCACGCTCAGTGGTCACAACCCAGGGTCATGCTGGCCAAAATGGAAAACTGCCAAGCACCTTCCATGCTGAGTGGAGTTCCAAAGTCCAGTACCCTGTTTGCGCTCATCCGAGATATTTTCTTGCAACAACTGATTTACAAGTGTCCCCTGAGGCTCTGGAAACTTCAGGCCCTCCCTGGCTCTCCCAATTCATTTTGGGGGTGACTTCCCTATAGAGTTGAGGGGATCATCATTCAATTGCTTGTGAAAACATGAACCAGAGTTTCAAACATTTCTTTTCTAGCTCCAATGCCCTTTCTTCCAAGAACAGACTCAAAGAAAGAGTAAAACTGAGATGTATGGGTGTCCAGTGAAGGAGGCCCCAGGCACTGGGCTTTTTAGGAAGGTGAAGAGCTGACTGACGACCTGGGCTTTGTTGATCTGAGGAGGGAGAAGCCTGGATTTGGGGCATGTGCAGACTACATGTTGCATCTTGCCAAACACAAAGGAGCCAGCCAGGTATGCCCTGAGAAGTCCTCCTTTCTAAAATCAGGTTGCGTGTCATCCAAGATTGTCTCACAAATAGAAGCCATGAGCTTCCTTTATTTTCAACTCTGGCTCAGATTTTCCATTATAAATAGAAATGTCAGGTTTTGCATTTGAACTCTTAGGTCAGCACATATCAACCCTGGCTCAAGAACTAGAAAGCAAAACCAGTCTTTGTGAGAGGAAACCTAATCAAAACTTTAATCCCTTCCTTTTTATATAACATCCAGACGCATCGGGTGAAACAAAGAGAAGTAAAAACAAACTATCAAAAAATTAAAAACACTCAAGCAGCAGAAAATCGCTTTGGTCATTCAAACCAGTGAGCATTTTCATGTATTTTTTAAAAAATCAGCTTGATTGAGGTGTATTTTCATGTATTTTTAAATGGCTCCTCTTATATGAAGAGCATCGCAATAAATCATCTTAAGGGAAAAGTCAGCCATTTTCTTAAACGAGTACCACTTTGAACCAAGGATGGGGCAAATATCAGACTCTCCCAGACTGACATACCCTCTTTCTCCATGCCTTCCAGGTTTTCAAACACCTCACACAGCCCCCCAAACACAGCCTTCCCTCCCCACCCCCCCGCCCTCCACACACAAGAAAAACTGCATA